AGAGTGTATTATTATGCCGAACTGAAATMACTGAAGGACGAGCAAAAGCTGAAAGCTAGAGAAACCAAAGATGCTACTAGATCCATCAGATCAGTCAAACTCACTACAGTGAAGCATGAAAACATGTCTGAAATGTCTCCAGAGGTGCTGCAGAGCACCTTGTTGACGTTCGACTTGATTGAGAGCCTCGTAGTCCGAATTGAGGAGATCACAGAGGAAAAACTGGCCAAACTAAACTGAGTGTTTAACTGTTTAGAAAGGTTAACTACATGTTCTATTGTCTGAATGACTGAATAAAGCATTCAGTGACAAAATGAAAAAAAAAATAAACAGTTTTCTGAAAGGCGTGCGCAGGCACAGACCCGTCATACGCAATCTCATGCCACAGTGGAATTTAACACTGGTGCTACACGCCCTGACTAAGCTCCTTTTGAGTCTTAGATCAGGTCTCACTCAAGTTTCTATCACAAAAAATAAAAAAAATGGCACTGCTGTTAGCGCTAACATCTGCAAAGAGAGTCAGTGAGCTGTCAGCTCTGTCAGTGTCCCCTTCGTGTCTCAGGATATGAGAGGATGGCAGTTCAGCAGCACTGCGCCCTAACCCGTTTTTTTTTTTTCACCTAATAGCTTCACAAGCTTACAATTCCAGAGTCATTATTCTAGGTGGGTTCTGTCTTTCCATCACAATTCTGAAGAGGAAGCCACTTCTCACCTTCTGTGCCCCATATGCACAATCTCGTGTTATGTGACGTGCACAGCAGGTATAAGGTGCTCTCAGTGTCTGCTTGTTCATTGCAGAGAACAGTCTGCAGGCCAGTCTCTATTTTCTCAGAGATTGTTACATTTGGTTTGCGAGGCTATCTCACAGGCTTACAAGTCATCGGGTCTGCAGCCTCCAGATGTTTCATCAGCTGTACAGTGGAATGTCGATTCAGGATGTCTGCTCTGCATCTTCCTGGTCATTCAAATTCAAATTCAAATTCAAAAATACTTTATTGATCCCAGAGGGAAATTAGGTGCTGTTGTAACTCATTTAACTAAAAAATTATTGTAGATGCTGATGGCTGTGGGCAGGAAAGATCTTCTGTAGTGGTCTGTATTACAGCGAAGTTGAAGAAGCCTCCGACTGAAGACACTTCCCCTTGTCCTTTCATCTGTTTTTATCTGTGTGATGTTTCGAGTTCTTCTCTGCCTTATGCTGCGTTCACACCGAACGCGATTTCAGCTTCAAAATCGCAGCCAACGCTGAAGTTTGAAGCTTGTGCACTTTGAGGTCAGACGCAGGTCAGCTCTGGAAGCGCTGCACGGCAGAGCCTCCCCGCCCCTCCCTCCTCTGTCGGGCTCTGTTTAATGTCGGACAAGGAAGTGGCTGTGCTTTATTTACAGAGAACAAGAGCATGTCACGTTCATCAGATAATTAATTCATAATTAATTCACCAGATAATTCAGAGTAGAGGCTCACAGCTCACTTTCAGGACTATTTATCCAGTCTGATGAGTCGCTGTCACGCATAGGTGCAGATATCTCTGTCAGGACACCGACTGCAGGCACTTGATTTCAGCTAAAGAGCTCCTCTCCGTCTGTTTCAGGTTAGTGGACATCATTCAGTAAACTGTCCCGTCGGGAAATATGTCGCTATGTCACACAGTGGAGTCTCTTTGATTGGTTGACGCTGCGCGTCGAGCTGCAAAAGTTCAGATTTTCTAACTTCAGAGATTTGTGCCTCAGCGCGTCAAACGCTCAGATCGTTCAAATCGTTCAAATCGCGCTGCTCTAATCGCGCTTGARGCGCCGCAGAACTTCCCGACGTTGCTTGAAGCGCGTCCACCATAGACTTTGTATGTAAACCTGCTGCTCCTGATGCTGAAATCGCGTTCGGTGTGAACGCACCATTACTCCTTTCACAGGACTTTGTCAGAGTTGTGAATTTTGTCTAAATTATTAGACAAATTATTGTGTGCTGTAGTAATACTGCACATACGGTGGCCTTGTTGTTCACATTATTTGGATCATGTGATGGAAACGGATGTTCACACAGGGATGCGTTCACTGTGTTGGTTTGGGCAATTGTATTGATTCATTCATATGAATCTGCCGTTATTCAATTGCCTCCTGCTTCATGCAGAAACATCACAGGGATGTTGGGCRGAAGCTTCACGAGTCTGTTAGAGCTGGTGAGGCGCTGACTACATCGGGCTCCCCCTCTATACCCATCAGCGATAGCCTTAGAGGGCAGAGTTTACAGGAAATAGAACGTTGGTTACGTATTGTAACCCCAGATTCTATGAATGTAAGCGCAGCCCTCTAAGTTCGGGGCCTCACCGTCTCCCATAGCTGAAGACAAAAGCTACAGGGAGTAGATCTACGGTCCCGCTGGTATTTATGGGACCATAGATAGGGCCCACGGTAGGTGGGCGTTGACTATTGGTTCTTCAGAATGCGAGGGATACCAGTCAGCGATAGAGGCCTGCGCTTGCACTCATAGAATCTGGGGTTATAATACGTAACAACGTTCTGCAGCCAGGTCGTACTTCCTGGAAGCAGGTGTGAATGGGCGGGGCAGAACCGTGGAAAAGCCCTGACCATAACAGGAAACAGAAAAATAAGCTTTACATAACAAAACAAAAACCACTGAAACAAAAGATAAACAGAAAAAAAGCACTGTTTTTTTTACATCCTGTAATTGTAGATGATCTGAAATTGTTTAACCACAGCTCAGACAGGTAAAGCGATCACATCATCCACCTGCAGCACAGTGCTGTGTTGTGCTCAGGGGACTGATGATGTCTGAGCTCTGACACATGGACCTGAAGCTCAGTTTGCTCTCCTCACACATCATCTGGACTGACTTTTGTTTCTTTTAAAAGTCAGCAGCAGTACTGAGAGAACCACAGAGCAATGTGAGTTTTAGTTTTTGTGCTGCTGGGTCCACAGTAAAAGAAAAAGCAGGAGAAACAGCAGCACATTTATCTCACTTAGTGCCACCAACCCCCTCTCAATCCCCAAAAACAACAAATCCTAAAACAAAAAGAAGAGACGCTGCTTTCTGTCTTCATCTCTGTCAACTGCTGCTACTTTCTTTTTTCCTCAATCAAATCAAATGTATTACTGTAAGGCTACACATTTTAGGTAAATTATGAGTTATCAATAATTCATAAGTCTTTTCATTTAACACTCAGGGGCACCACCCTATTAAAGGGAATTTTTTTACTTTTATTTTAATTATTATCAGTTTCTTGAAATATAAACGTGAATTATTTTCACATTAAAACATGGACAAGTGCAGTTACAGTTGATACGCCAAAAATGATTATGGGCAGAAAGGGTTTACATTATAATGACTGACAATGAAAATAGTACTGTAACTACATTAAAAAGAATTGTCATTGACTTTGAGGCAGATGTTAAATTGAATCTACAGGGGATAAGGTAAAACAGAATAACTGATTTTAGAGAAGAAGATGGGTTAAAATAAAATAAAAAATAAAATAAAATCAGGGTTGGTAACTAAATGAAAGAATTGTCACACTTCATTTCCATCATGTTCAATAATTTAGTAACCATCCTAATTTCTAAGTAATACTGACATATTACAAATAAAAATCAGATTAATATCATTAAAAGGGTTTCAATAAGGGAAGAAAGTAAACAAAATAAACAGTTGTGAAATGTTGGAACATGAGGTGAAAAAGAAAAACATGAAGCTGCAAATGTTGAACTAGAAACCTAAACTACTTTTGAGGTCATAAAGTTTATGTACATGTAAAATACAGATCCTAAGCAAAAGAAAAACAGGATTAATAATGTTTTAATCAGGAAATGTTCATTTTGAAAGAGAATTTTTTTTTTTTACTTTTTAAGAGGAGAAAGCACATTGTGAGCTTCTGTTCCTAGTAGCTTGTTTTAAATGTATCTTACTTTATTGAAGAGACAGATACATTCAACAACTACATTGGTTTATAGGACTTTCTTTGTACTTCAGATTGAATAGAAATATATCACAGTTTGACTGTATTTGGATTTTTTATAGTAAAGTTGTACATGACCTGCTGCGTCAGTCCTTTTTTTTCTGTCTCTGCTGGTAATTATAAAGTAATAGCTTAGCATTTAGCTTTTTTTTTCCTGTACTGAACTCATTTCAAGCTGTAGCTTTCACCTGAACTGTGACTCAGGTGACAGAAACACACAAGTGATTTTGCCTTTCTGAGAGAGCACAAATTTAACTCCCATCCCCCACAGTCCACCCTGCCCCACCACCCCCACCCCTCCGTCAGCCCTCATCTCTCCTCCAGTGGCTCTGCTCCATGTGAGCAGGCTCGGTGGAAGGAATTGAATTAGGCCCGTCTGTAATTGCCAGCGTTTCGCCACATAAATCAAGGAAATAAATATTGGCTGTGCCGAATCCTCCGGGGAATGCCACTCTATTTCCAACCCTTCCCCCCACATCCTCCCCCCATACCCCCACCCTCTGCATGACTGCTTACTTCTGCAGGACCTCTCAGAAGTAATCAACTTGAGAGCTCTTTCTGCTTTAGCCAGCATGTTTTATGAGGCTGCAGAGCCATTTGTTTATTGTGCAGTCCTTCACGAGGATGCAGACTGGCTGCTCTGCTGGAGCCTGAAACTTTACATCCAATATCCACAGCTGATGTCACACACCCCACAGCCCGTCCYTGCCCACCCACCATCTCTTGGCTCTTGGCTCAGAATAATTTAAAAACAGAATATTGATGGTAAACTCTGCTTCTGCACAGTATTTATATGCAGTGTGATGYTCATTAAAATGCACGCAAAAGAAGATAACAAAAAAAAAAACCACAATTCTTTAGTAAAATCTAATAAGATGAACAATGAAACCATCTTAAGTTTAGTAATATAACACACACTTTTTTATCTTTGGTATCAAACACTTTTCTTCAGCAGTTAGTGAAGCATCTTTTTGTGTCAGCAGAAAATCAGATCTGTGACCCTTTTGAGTTTTGATTTTTTTTTCTCTTCAGGTGTTATATCAACTTTTCTTCATGTCCATCCGTTCGGGGCCAATCTGGAGTATCTCTGGTCCTATGTACAGAGACTAGACTCAAAGGTAAAAAAGGACGCAAGTATTTWGAGTTCTGAGTTTCTCTGTTTAAAATGAAATGTTATGTGGATGTAAAACAAACACAAACCATCACCCCTCCACTGCCGTGCTTTACTGCTGGGATCAGGTTGAGTCAACATGTTGTGTTTGTTTTCCTGGGGTCTCATTTATAAAGGATTGCGTGGAAACCATACTAAAAGTGAACGTACGGCCAAAAGGCAGAAATGGCGTACGCCAAAAAAATTCAGATTTATAAAACAGTGCGTACGCATGTTTCTGCGCATCTTTCCTTTATAAATCACAGCCGCATGACAGAGTTTGCGCACGAGGTCCCGCCTCAGGTTCTACCCTCTACACGCCCACAYTCAACCATAAACAGTCAATGTAAAGTACCTCATGAAAGTTAAGGTGTATTTAAATCAGTCAGCTGATCAACGTCAACAAAAGTGATTGGCTCAGACACGCTCCTTCGTGCGTCTGGAGGATGACAGGTGCTGACTGACAGCTGYTCACGTGAACAGAATGTCTGTAATTGACACAGATTTTCCCTCATTTTGCTTTAGAGTAATCTAAYGATTTTTATTTTAAAAAACTCAGTTTAAAATTAATTTTCTCCCAGAGCCTGCAGGATGTTAAAAACAATAAAAATAAAATTAAATAAGTCAGATAAAATTACAAATAAGTCCACCGCTCTTCTCCTCGTCCTCTCCCCCTCCTGCCTGCTCTGTTATCCGCAGCAGACACCCCCGCCCCCCACGCACACGCACACACACACACACACGCATCTCACCCCCCTGCGCGTGCGTGACAAACACGGACTTTAAACGTGAAGGTTTATTACATTCACACTGGCGAGGTGGATGCGCCCTGCGCGTGTATCCAAAGCGTGACTGTTGCTGTCCTGCTGTTCTTGTCGGGGAGTGGTCTGTGGGTCAGGGTCATGAGGAGGAAGCAGATGAAGGGATTTGCGCACGGGAACTTTTATTTAAGATTCMAGTTTTTTTTATTTCAAAGGTCCTCATGACTCAGCAGCAGAAATATACAAATTACTGTTAAGAAAGCTGATGATAAAGTTGAATAAAAATCTGTCTGATGAAGCGAAATTAAATATCTGACAGTGATCATTACACAGTGTGGCTCTAATTCTTCACTTCACCATCTGTGTCGCAGTTTCATGTCTCCAAAATGAGCGTACGCATGGGTCAGAGCTGGCATGAGGCACCGCACATTTTCACTTCAAGTTTGGGTTTTATAAATCACAACCTTGGCGTAAAAAGTGGYGTACGCAAGTTTCTGGGCTCAAATTGTGCGTACGCCAGTTTTGTGAATCCGACCCCTGGTCTTTACAGAGAAACACCTTCTCTTTTATGGAGGACCGAATCTGACATAATTCAAATTAAAAGCMGAAACATATAAGTGGCCCAATAAATAAATGAATACACATAAAATGCACCAATTAATTTTAAAAAGGTGAACTTCATCTCACATTTTATAATTGAATTAACCTTCATATTTGTTTTCCAGTTTAGTTCCAATTATATATTTTAGAGCATTTTAAGTGCATTTATTTATTTATTGGGCAATTTATATATTTCTGCTTTTAATTGTAATTACATCAGCTTTGGTCCTCCATACTCTTTGGTTTTATTTGTTCAAAATATGTAATTTTCTAGATTTTTTGTTTGTTTGTTTGTTTGTTTGTTTGTTTGTTTGTTTGTTTGTTTGTTTGTTTGTGTGTTTTCTTGTTTGTCTGCTGCAGCTTGTTCTTGTCAAACTTTATCTGTGATAGTTTGTTCCTTTTTAAGAAGAAAAAAACATTTTTCTCCAACCGTTATATAAGCTTTAGTTGTTTGTTTTGAACCATACCCATCTTAGTACTAAACTACTTAGTTGKTTTTTCAATAAAGTTGAATTTTAAACATTATCATGTAAAACAGAAGTGTTGTAACAATTTAAATACTGTAAATCACAAAATCTATTCGTCCATCCATCCTCTTTACCTTCTTATTTGTAGTGATTTGGYGTGATAAGGTAATAAAATGTGAAACAGTTACCACTGCATCCTCGTGCACTTGCCATCAATATAAACATCCAGTTTCCTGCAGATTGTTTTTTAAATAATAAAAGTAATGYACATGTGAGGATATTGTGAATATGTATGCCACAAATTTGCAAATATTCATTTCAGAAGTGTTCTTCCATAGTATAAATGATCTACTGAACATTTTAGTTGGTTACCAAGGKGGGTACAAAGAAAAACTATGGGTAAAAAAATGACCAAAACTTTAAAACTTAATTTTAACAGAGTAGAAATGGACCTGTAGTTATGGATTTTTATAGGGTTACTGATGTCTTTATATGAAGAGCTTCAATATGTTTGTTGCCATCAGATAGTTTTCTTCTACTCAGACACTAATAGGACTGATTTCACTCTGAACTGATAAAAACTGACAGATCATCTTCAAACCTTAATGCTGAGGTTTTAAAATACTCAAATGAGTATTTGAGATTTAAACTTGCAGGAAGTTGAACACTTAAGCCACAGCTGCTCTTTTTTTATCAGGTTATAGTTGTCCTGTGCAGTGGTAGACAGTAGTGGAGTACATACAGACTGTATGTACAGACAGTACTTGAGTACTGTTCTTAAGTACATTTTTGTGTATTTTTACTTTACTTGAGTAATTATTTTTTGGTGTACTTAGACTTTCACTCCACTACATTTCAAAGACAAATATTGTACTTTTACTCCACTACATTTCTAGGAAGCTTGTTAGTTACTTGTTACTTTTGGTTCAGCGTATAGTTTTGTAATCAGCTGTTGCTGTTTTTCTTTCTTGAAGTGCAGTTGGCCACACACTATGTTCCTCACAAGGGGAACCAATCACAATCGTAGCTCACATCTGAGATAGATTTGGAATTACACCATCTTCATTAACAGTCGCAAGCTGAGCTCCACCTTCATTTCAAACAGAACTCAGCAATGGAGACGATTGAAGAGAGTAGAAAAACCAGAGCACCCATGACTATATCTCAGCTCGATCTTTAAGATTTTAGCACTGACAAATAGTTCCTATCAGCTTAAATGTCTTCTGTGTTCACTGCGGATAAACTACATTTCTGCATTTATGAACTCACCACTCACTTTATTCCATTTTTATGCTGAAGTCTTTACAGGTGGTGAATTTGTATCAGAGTGGTTCTGTGTGTCAATACATCAGGTGGTTTCTGAAAGTTACAAGGTTCTGTAAAATCACTCTGAAAACAATACAGCAATGTACTAATATRAGAAAATTTMATTTGTACTTTTGAATACTTGAGKACTTTTAAATGCATGTACTTTTGAATGCATTTCAAGTACTTTAACATGAGTAGATTTTTGACGGAGTAACTTGTACTTGTAGTTGAATAGATTTGACCCTGAGTATCAATACTTTTACTCAAGTACTAGAATTGAGTACTTTGTCCACCAATGGTCCTGTGTGTGTGTTGTGATGTTCTGCGTGCTCCTCCAGGTGTCGGCGGTGGAGCTGGAGCGGCTCATGGTGCGTCTGCCCAGCATGTTCAGACAGGAGCTGAGCGGAGTCGGTGCCACTCTGGAGAAACGGTGGAAGTTCTGTGGTTTTGACAGCCTCAGCTCAGCATGACGCAGGACCAGCACACACACACACTGGACTGGCAGATCAACATGAACGTGTGTGTGTGTGTGTGGAGAGGGGTTGTTTCTGGTGACATTTGTAAGACAAAATGCCAACATTTGGGGACAACTGGTGCATTTGGGGGTTAAATGCCTTGGTGGGTTGGGGGTTCGGTTAGGACCAAGGTGTGAATTGAGTTTAGGTTAGTTTTGGGGTCAGGTAGGTACCTGTGAGGTTAGCCTTGTGGTCAGGGTTAGGCTGTAGAAATGTCATGGAAGTCAAATGTCCCCAAATGGATAGCTGTGCAAATGTGTGTGTGTGTGTGTGTGTGTGTGTGTGTGTGTGTGTGTGTGTGTGTGTGTGTGTNAGGCTCTTCCTCAGCAGGACCAACATATTTCAGATCTGAAACTGTCCCCCAGTTCAGAAGACTTGTGTCTTGGCTTTGAACTTGACCTCCTGGTTCCTGACGCCTGCCAGCATCAACAGGGTCCACCCAAACAGATCATCTCCTATGTTGTGTTTAAAATGAGACTCTGAATGAACCACATATTGATCAAATCAGTTTAAGAAAAATAGAAACATTTCATGGTAATCCTGTCCCTCTCCTGAATGTGCTGGTTGAATGTTAGATATTATTTTAATCCGAAGTGCATAAGCTGATGGCAGAAATGTTTTTTTTTCTTTAAAGTGTTGATTATTTGGAGCTGCACTGATCTTATCTGTTTGAACCACAGAGACG